GCACATGTGCCCTACAGCAAGCACCTCTCAGAAAAAAGGGAAGACTTTATTTATTTAATTCCAGTTGTTACTATTATTTTATATATATATATTTTTTTTTCCTTTTTCATCAGAACATTTATTGAGTGTCTGTGTTGTGTATGGGCTGTCAAAGGCTTGAGTATCAGGCTAAACCCAGGAAAACTGCTGTCCCCTTTTCAAGTTTGTAGAGCAGTTACCGTTCATAGTTGGTGCAATCCTACAGCCTACAAGAGGGGATAAAAATCCCAGAGCAAGATTCGGTTGAACTGGAATGGATCCAAGGGTGAGGGAGCCAGGCCAAACCTCCCAGGCAGTGATCTTACAGCCTGTTCTTCCTGGTGTCTGAACTCTTTTGCTCTAAAGACAGATGGGGAACACAAAGACTTTCTTCTGGCTATGAGGAGGCATCTAGGTGATAGGAAAGAAAGCCAGAGAGCCTGGGGAAGGGGAGCAGGAGTTGGTTTTTATTGACTGGGAAGTGGGTCTCTTTTCTTTTTCTTCCAGCCAAATCCTCATTCTCTCCGCAGTGAAGTCCCTTTGAGTTTAAGAGCATTTTTTTGTTTCCTTTTTTCCTGCAACTTCTGCTGCTGCCTGGCTGCCATGCCTGTAATCCAGCATCCATTTCCTGTGACAGCAGTACAACTCTTCTTGCAAACTTCTCTGGGCTTTTCTTCAAAGCTGGCCTTTCATTGCGGGGGGCAGGGTGGCCATCCACATAAGACCAGTCTGGGAGCTCCGTCAGGGGACCATAGCCGGAGGGGTTGGTGGCCAAACCCTGCTCGAGTTGCCACCGGCTGCCTGCCTGAGCCGCTGTGCTGCAGTACAGCCTCCGGACACAGCAGCAGAGTCCCTAAGGCAGCACGGTGGCGGTGGGGCCAGAAGTCATTATTTATATTTGAACCGATAGAGACAGGGAGGGAGAGAGAGGGAAAGCAAGAAAGGAAGCTGCCAGGTCCAGGACTTGAATCGCCATTGGCCATGTGGGAATCCAGTGCCCTTAACTTCCATGTCATCTGGCAGCCCGTGATAGTATTTCATGAAAGAGGCTTTTTTGTGCCTTTAGCAAATTATTCACCTGGAATACCCATTATATGGATATTTGGGGGTTTCATTGTGCCCACAATTTTCTACATATTGTCTTCATTTTATTGATGCCTTTTTTTTTATTATCATAATCTTCTTTATATTACATTGGATTACATATAACTTTACATTGACTTCCATTGCTTTTTCAAAAGGGAATGCCATGCATGTCAGTCAATACAGAGGCATCGATCTACCCGCTTTATCATTCAAAGTCTTTTCCATGCATTTCCCAATAATTATTATTATTATAATTTTTTAAAACAGTCAATCACTATTTCTCATTTTGCTTGTTAAAAGACTTCACCCATCATGAAATACTTCCCAGACCAGTCCAGTTGAGAATACTATACACGTCATCTTCAACAGATAATAAACCATATCTGTTTCTCACTAACATCCCCTCTATTGTTCACTTGCTATCTTTCTCTATCCTCTTCTCTCTTTTTTTTTTTTTATGGTTTATTTTTTATTATAGTTTTTTTCCCATCGCAAAACACAAATGACTTTTCCATCAAAGATATACTGTGCATTGGCTCAATCAAGTATGTCAACATATATGTTTTCAGCAAATAATTTCCCAATTCTTGTGACCTGCATACCTTGCCTTTTGTTTTACCATCCTAGATTCCCCATCCCCCTCCCTCTGTTATGACCCATCCTCCTCCCACATGGTCCCTGTCATCCCCGATTGCCCTCCGTGCCTCACCCCTCCCCAAATGATCTGTCAGTGATCTTAATTAGTCTAAGTCTCTCCAATAGTTATCACAGCTGACACATGCCTCTACATGAACTCAAGTCTGACTTTAGGCCTAAACCCCATTGGGTAAAAAGAGCATACTATAAAGTAGAACCCAACTGGGCCCATACCGCTCACTGCAGCCATCAAATATCCAATTTTTTTTTTTAAATGGTACGAATAGTTTAACCGTTTTTTTTTGTTTGTTTTTTGTTTTCGTTTTTTTTTT